AAGGTTGGCGATGCGTCGGCGTTCCGGGTCTGGGGATCTCGGGCGTTTGTTCGCGACCTGTCTGCGGACAAGCTGTCCCCTCGTGCTTCTCCCTGCGTCTTCCTCGGGTTCCCCCCCGACGCCCCTGGGTGGCAGTTTTACCACCCCACCTCTCGACGTGTTCTGTCCTCCCAGGACGTCACGTTCGACGAGTCGGTACCCTACTACCGCCTCTTCCCCTACCGCACTCCGTCCCTCCCCCCACCCCCCCTCTTCTTGGTACCAGGTCCCCCCCCAGTAGTCCCCCTCCCCCCTCAGGGTCCTGCCCCTTCAGGTGTGTCTCAGGTAGACGCGGTCGAGCCTGTCGAGGTCCCTGGTGACTCCGGTGCTGCTGCGGGAGCTGAGCCTGGGGGTGCGGAGTCTAGGGGTGCTGAGCCTGGGGGTGCGGAGTCTGGGGGTGCTGAGCCTGGGGGTGCTGAGCCTGGGGGTACTGTGCCTGGGGGTGCTGTGTCTGGAGGTACTGAGCCTGGGGGTGCTGAGCCGGGAGGTGCCGAGCCTGGAGGTGCTGTGCCTGGGGGTGCTTCGTCTCACCGGGAGCCGCTCTCTCCACTAGAGCTGCGTGAGTGGTTTGCCCGGCGCTGGAGGCGTGCCGCTGGTGCTGGTGGTTCTTCGGCTGCGGAGGGCGCTGCTGCCACGCGACCTGGCGGTGCTCGTCCTGTGGGTGCTGGAGCTGCTGGGTCTGAGTGTTCTCCTGGAGCTGGTCCTGCTGAGGACGTTGGCGCTGAGCCTGCGGTTGGTGGTCCGACTGACGGTGCTCCTGGTGGTTCTGCTGGAGGTGCTGCTGGAGTGGGTGCTCCTGCCGGGGGTGCTGGTGCTGTTCCTGCTGTTTCTGGCGTCGCCGCGCGGCCCCGACCGTACTTCGTTCCGCTCCTGCAGCAGGTTCTTGGTCTTACACCTCCTCCTCCTTCCTTAGAGGGTCCGCAGCCTGTCCGGTCACAGCCACAGCTACAGCCTGCCTCCCCTTTGCCTGCTCCTTCTCCCTACGCTGGTCCGACTGGAGGTCTTACTGAGCGTCGTGAGCCTGCGTCTCGTCCTGCGTCGCCTGTTCGTACTGAGCGCGCTAGTGGTCGCGGGTCGCGTCAGCGTCCTCCTCCTGTCCCTGGCACGCACCGGATGTCACTGCGTCCGTCCACTGCTCCTCTGCGTGCCCCTTTGCCTTCTCCTCCTGCTTCCTCTCTTCCTGCTCTTGCCGACCCGGAGTCGGACTCTCTTCGTGCTGCCAGTCCTACTGTCACGCGTCTCCTTGCTACTGCTGTCACTGACCCTTCCTTCGAGTCGTCTGCTGCGTCTGCCCTTGTCACTGAGCTTGTCGACTTTGCTGCGCGCTGTCGTCTAGACTACGCTGCTCGTCTTGTCGCTGAGTCTGAGTCCGCCTGTCCTCCGTCCGTCGGGGGTGAGTGTGCCCTTGGCACGGACGTCCTAGAGGACAGGCAGGAGGAGTTCCAGTGTCTAGCCGCTGCTTCACCTCGTCTCGCGTCTGTACTGCTAGCCCCTGAGGGAGACCCGGATGCACTAGACATCCCGACTCCGCGTTCTTACGCGGAGGCCGTAGAGGGTCCCTACTCCTCTCAGTGGCAGGCAGCTATGGATGCAGAGATGGCTTCCTGGAAGTCCACAGGCACCTACGTTGACGCGGTTCCCCCTCCTGGGGCGAACATCGTCAGTGGCATGTGGATCTTCAGGGTGAAGCGGCCGCCGGGCTCGCCGCCTGTCTTCAAGGCGCGTTACGTGGCTCGTGGCTTCAGTCAGCGGCAGGGAGTTGACTACTTTCAGACCTTCTCTCCCACCCCGAAGATGACCACTCTTCGGGTGCTGCTGCACATTGCCGCTCAGCGCGACTACGAGCTTCACTCTCTCGACTTCAGCACTGCGTTCCTGCAGGGTAGCCTGCACGAGGAGATCTGGCTGCGCCGTCCGCCTGGCTTCACTGGGACTTTCCCTCCTGGTACCCAGTGGAGCCTCCGACGGCCAGTCTACGGTCTCCGCCAGGCACCGCGTGAGTGGCACGACACACTGAGGACTACGATTGCGGCTCTTGGGTTTGCTCCTTCTACTGCTGACCCGTCGCTGTTTCTTCGCACCGACACTTCCCTGCCGCCGTTCTACATCCTCGTGTACGTCGACGACTTGGTCTTTGCCACAGCGGACACTGCTGGACTCGCCTACGTGAAGTCCGAGCTGCTGAAGAGACACACGTGCACAGACCTGGGTGAACTGCGCAGCTACCTTGGCTTGCAGATCACTCGGGACAGAGCACGCCGCACCATTACCCTGACTCAGTCACACATGGTGCAGCAGGTCCTTCAGCGCTTCGGCTTCACGTACTCCTCGCCTCAGGCCACTCCTCTGCCTACTCGCCACTCACTCTCAGCTCTGCCTTCGGATGAGTCCGTAGAGTCGAGTGGTCCGTATGCAGAGCTTGTTGGCTGCCTCATGTACCTGATGACCTGCACTCGACCTGACCTTGCATACCCTCTGAGCATCCTTGCACGCTATGTTGCTCCTGGGAGACACCGACCAGAGCACATGGCTGCAGCGAAGAGGGTATTGCGCTACCTGTGCAGTACGTCGGGCATGGGGCTAGTGCTTGGAGGGCGGAGTCCAGTGGTCCTTACTGGGCACGCAGACGCTTCTTGGGCTGACGACCAGGCTACGCAGCGGTCGTCACAGGGTTACACCTTCAGCCTTGGTTCCGGCTCTGTCTCGTGGCGGTCTACTCGCTCGTCTTCGGTTCTCGGCTCCAGTTGTGAGGCTGAGATCTACGCCGGGGCCATGGCTGCACAGGAGCTTCGCTGGCTCACCTACCTGCTGACTGACCTTGGAGAGCTGCCTCGTTCTCCTCCAGTGCTGTACGTAGACAACAAGGCCATGTTGGCCTTGTGTCGAGAGCAGCGCTTGGAGCACAGAACGAAGCACATTGCTCTCCGCTACTTCCTTGCTCGTGAGCTGCAGCAGCGTGGTCAGTTGCGACTTGCTTACGTGGCCTCTGAGGCCAACACTGCTGATGTGTTCACCAAGGCACTTGCGCCTTGCGACCATCAGCGCTTTTGTACCCAGCTGGGTCTTGTACCTGTCTTGCCTCACTTGCTCTCTTCTTGACTTTACTTGTACTTTGACATATATATACCTGCTCTTGCTTGTCTAGTTTTATATATATGTCTTTACTCCTGCATGTGAACTGGCCTCTGGCCTTGCTCTTGTGCTCGGACTGTGTGGTGACTTTGTGATCCACCCTGAGCTTGTTTTGCTTTGCTTGACTGGTCTTGTGACCCCTTGTTCTCCCCCACTTTGCCTATGGGGGTGTGTCAGATTATTATAGCTGATGCATGTTTGTAGGCTATAGTGGGGTAGCACATATGGGGTACAGTTTGCTAGGGTTGTATTTGTACCCAACTCTGACTTAGTCAATTCATTCCTCTGCTCATAGTTTCACAAAGAGATACAAGATTATAAATGAATACAGAGAATATGAAGAGACACGGTTATAACTACTTTACTGTTGCTGTTGCGGTTCGATACAGTGACGACTTGGGCAACTGCTCTGTAACGAGTCAGTTGTGTGTCCTTGCTGTCGCGCTGCATTTGTCAGGTCAAAGGCCGCTGACCTTTGACTTTCGCGTAACCTCCAGCGGTTACTTCAACCTCCAAGGGTTGACTGGCTGGTGCCTCGATATGCTCTGCTTCGTTTGTGCCTTAGTGTTTCAACACGACAGAGGCGCTTAGGAACTATTGTTTCCAACACTCCCCTTCGCTTCTGGAGTGTCGCTGACGTGGCTCTGTCCAGTCAGCAGCATGCAATATTCGAACTTCTGTTTTCCGAGCTTCTTGGTCAGGTAATCAGCTGCCATCTCGGACGTGGGGCAGTATGACAGCTCAAGCCTTCCTTTCCCGATCTCGTCCTTCATGAAGAAATATCGTAGGGCGATGTGTTTCGTTCTGTTCGCGAAGCCGTTCTTGTTGGCGATGCGAATTGCCGACTGGTTGTCGTAGAGCAGGGTGAAGTTGTGTAACTCGGCTAACTTCGCTTCTTCCATTAGCTCGCGAAGATAGAGTCCTTCCTTGGTGGCTGAGCAGTGTGCAATATATTCTGCTTCAGCTGACGAGAGAGCAATTAGTTCTTGCTTGCTCGATTGCCAGGAGATAGGCCTGATAGGCTCGAGACGTTCGATGTAGCCGGTGCGTGATCGCCTGTTGTCGGAGTCGCCTGCGTGATCTGCGTCGACGTAGCCGATTTGCTTAGGCGTTGTAGTTGCGTTCTTATGATAAGTCAGTCCGACCGTCGGGGTACTGACAAGGTAGTGAAGAGCGCGGTCGAGCTCCGCCAGATGTTCCGCTTCAGGCCTCTTGAGGTAGGTGGCGAGCTGGCTTGCAGAGTAGGATAGATCTGGGCGGCAGGTGACAGCTGCGAAGAGAAGGCAGCCCAGCTTTCTCTGGTAGTCGCGGATGCCGGCGGGCTTGAGTAGAGCGGAGCCTTCCTTGTTGCTTACTGTCGTGTAGCGGTACGGTGTGGAGATAGCTGTTGGTGTGAGTGCGAAACGCTTGGCGATGGTGTCGGCGTATTTCGTGGCGCAATGGTAGATAGCGTCTTCTTCTTCTCGGATGTTGAGGCCGAGGTACTGTGTGACGGTAGTGTTGAGATACTAACGTGACTTAGGCTTAGGAGCCATTGCTAGTGAGTGTCTTAGTAGCTTAGGTTTAGGGTTGAAGTTGAATGTCGAGAAAGTTGAAAGGAGAGAATGGGGCTTCACTATAGGTTTGCAAGAACATATAGCAAAGGAACAAAGAAGGTGCACCACCAAACAAAGTTTATAATAACTACACTAACTACAGCTACAGGCAGTTACAGATGTATTCCGACACTCCCCCATAACTCCCTGCAGCAGAAGCTAATGCAGAGACACCCCCTGAAGGGGTACACCAAGCGCAGCAGGAGGAGAGGGCAAGTGAGGAGGAGGGATTATATGAGGAGAAGCTGCTGGCAGGTGAAGCTGCTGGCTCCAAGGCGGCTGCTTCCTGGAACCTTCCTCAGTCCTCCAACTCTTCTTTCCACACTCCTCGACAACCCTAGCACCTCTCCCCCAGCTCCCCCACACCCTTACACCCACCCCCCCAGCAGCAGTTGCAGCAGTGGGAAAGAAAGGACGAGGAGGGGAAGGGGATCACACACACCCATCACCCCCATACCCGCCACCCCTATAGCCTCTGTTCCACGGCTGCACGCGCAGGAGGGAGACGAAGAAGGGGGAGGGGGAAGAGCAGGGGCAGCATAGGCACGGGCAGCACAGGCACGGGCAGCAACGGGCGGCGACGGGCAGCACAGGCACGGGCAGCACAGGCACAGGCAGCAACAGGCAGCAACGGGCAGCACAGGCACGGGCAGCAACAGGCAGCAACGGGCAGCACAGGCACAGGCAGCAACGGGCAGCAACAGGCAGCACAGGCACGGGCAGCAACGGGCGGCAACGGGCAGCACAGGCACGGGCAGCAACGGGCGGCAACGGGCAGCACACGCACGGGCAGCAACGGGCGGCAACGGGCAGCACAGGCTCGGGCAGCAACAGGCGGCAACGGGCAGCACAGGCATGGGCAGCAACGGGCGGCAACGGGCAGCACAGGCACAGGCAGCAACAGGCAGCAACGGGCAGCACAGGCACAGGCAGCAACGGGCGGCAACAGGCAGCACAGGCACGGGCAGCAACAGGCAGCACAGGCACGGGCAGCAACGGGCGGCAACAGGCAGCACAGGCACGGGCAGCAACGGGCGGCAACGGGCAGCACAGGCACGGGCAGCAACGGGCGGCAACGGGCAGCACACGCACGGGCAGCAACGGGCGGCAACGGGCAGCACAGGCACGGGCAACAACGGGCGGCAACGGGCAGCACAGGCTCGGGCAGCAACAGGCGGCAACGGGCAGCACAGGCACAGGCAGCAACGGGCGGCAACGGGCAGCACAGGCACAGGCAGCAACAGGCAGCAACGGGCAGCACAGGCACAGGCAGCAACGGGCGGCAACAGGCAGCACAGGCACGGGCAGCAACAGGCAGCACAGGCACGGGCAGCAACGGGCGGCAACAGGCAGCACAGGCACGGGCAGCAACGGGCGGCAACGGGTAGCACAGGCACGGGCAGCAACGGGCGGCAACGGGCAGCACAGGCACGGGCAGCAACGGGCGGCAACGGGCAGCACAGGCACAGGCAGCAACAGGCAGCAACGGGCAGCACAGGCACGGGTAGGAACAGGCAGCAACGGGCAGCACAGGCAGGCAGCCGTACCGAGTCCAGGAGCGGCGGCGCATACAGCTGTAAGGTCGGCGCCGTGGGCTGCTGCTGGGGCGGCTCGCGGGGTCCAGGGGCGGCTGCACCAGGGGCGGCTGCTGAGGTCCAGGGGCGGCTGCACCAGGGGCGGCTGCTCCAGTGGCCAGGGGCGGCTGCTCCAGGGGCGGCTGCTCCAGGGGCGGCTGCTCCAGGGGCGGCGCTGGTGCAAGGTAGGCCCGCGCGCGGCTGCAACGCTTGCGCGGGCGCAGGTGAGGCAGAGGCGGTGGCCAGGGGGGAGGGCGCCGCGACGAGCAGGGACGGCGCCCAAGGGGTGCCGCTACGACCAGGGGCGACGCCCCTGGGGCGCCGCGACGAGCAGGGGCGGCGTCCAGGGGGCGCCGCGACGAGGAGTGGCGACGCCCCGCGGGTCCCGCAGGGGCGTCGCGACGAGCAAGGCGACGCCGTGCGGGTCCTGCAGGGGCGTCGCGACGAGCAGGAGCGGCGACGCCCGGGTCCCGCAGGTGCGTCGCGACGAGCAGGGACGGCGCTTCGCAGGGCGCCGCGAAGTGGAGGGTACGGGCGGGCAAAACAAGCCCGCGCGTGGACGTGAGGCAGGCGCGCAGGCGGCGTGAGGGCAGGCCACGCGCGGGGCAGGAAGACGCCGCGCGCCCAGGGCGCATGGCGGACAGAAGCCCGCCGTGCGCCCCGAGCACACGGCGGGCAGAAAATCGCCGTGCGCTACGCCGCGCGCCCGAGGCGCGCGGCAGGACGATAGGCAGCGGAAGCAGGAAGGCAGCAGGAAGGTACCTGCTCTGAATACCATGTTGAGATACTAACGTGACTTAGGCTTAGGAGCCATTGCTAGTGAGTGTCTTAGTAGCTTAGGTTTAGGGTTGAAGATGAATGTCGAGAAAGTTGAAAGGAGAGAATGGGGCTTCACTATAGGTTTGCAAGAACATATAGCAAATGAACAAAGAAGGTGCACCACCAAACAAAGTTTATAATAACTACACTAACTACAGCTACAGGCAGTTACAGATATATTCTGACAGGTAGGTGAGACTGTGAGTGTGAGGTCTTGTTGTAACTCCCCTTCGAACCAGGTTGTAATACCTTCGGTTGAGCCAATGTAGAGTAGGTCGTCTACGTAGACGATTAGCAGGACGTAGTCGGTACCCTTCGAGAGCCGGTACATGCCCTGGTCGTGCGGTAGTTGCTTGAAGCCGATGCGAATGAGGCGAGCGTGTAGGTATTGTTGCCATAGTCGTGGGGCTTGCTTGATGCCGTAGAGTGACTTGAGTAGTTGACAGGCGTGTTTCGAGTCCGTGCTGGAGCCGTGTGGTAGCTCGACGAAGATCTCGGCGTCGACGCGTGCGTAGAGGAATGCATTAGCGACGTCGATTTGCCTTAGCTTCTTCTTCTTCATGGCGGCGATCGCGAGAAGGATGTGTAGCCAGGTGTGTCGGCTGTCTGGAGCGAATGTTTCGGTGAAGTCGCGGCCGTGCTCTTGGTCGAAGCCACGAACGACCCAGCGTGCTTTGAATTTGTCGATGGTGCCATCGGCCTTTGTCTTCACATGGAAGACCCATTTTCCGGTGAGTACTGTCTTGTTCCGTGCCACACCGATAGGAACCACCTTCCACGTGTTGCGTTCCTCCAGTGCCTTCAGCTCCTTGTCCATGGCTTCGCGCCATTTTTTTTTATGTTCCCCCCCCCAGAGCCTACTGAACCGTCGCAGGCTCTTTAGGAGCGACGGAGCCGTGGACTGCGGTGACGAGCCCGAGGATCTGCAGTCCACTCTGTGAGTAGCGGGGAAGATTTACATCCTCGGGATAAGCTGCTTCGTCTCCCGTTTCTGGATCAGGTATGAAATTTGGTCCTACTCGTTCTGCTTCGTTGGTGTCGACTGTCGCAGGTGTTACGTAACCGTTGTCGGCGAAGTGGTAGAAGGTTTCGGCGTTGGCACTTTCGCGAGGGTTGTCTTCGTCCATGGGAACGTCGACGGAGCAGAACGGAAGAGGTCCGGCTTCTTCTGATGCATTGTCCACATTCTGCTAGTCCCATTCTGCTTCGTCCGCTGCTGAGGCGAAGGCTCGGTCACCACGAAGGCCACCTGTGGGGTCTTCGTCTTCTTGCAAGTTGGCAAGGTACGTCTGGAGCGTGAGTCGTTCATAGAAAATTACGTCACGTGCTGCTACTGTTTCCTTGGAGTGGACGTCGAAGATTTTCCACGCGTTGTAGTTCTTTTCGATTCCCAGGTGTAGTCCCCACTGTGCTCGTTGAGAAAATCGGCCCGCTCGTGCTGCTGGGGGTCGGTACTGTACCATGCACCCGAAAACTCGTAACATTTTTGTGCTGCCCTGTTTCCCTGTCCATAGCAGATGCGGTGATGCGTTGTTCAGAAGCGATGACGACGACAGCAAATTGTGCAGCATGACAGCGTGGTCCATTGCTGCAGGCCATTGGTGGTTGGGTAGCCGCATGCCACGTAGCAGTTTGCGCATGGTGTTCTGCAGGGTCCTGTTCATTCTCTCTGCTACTCCTTGCTGCTGATGGGCGTAGGGAAGGGAGATGAGCTGCTTGATTCCCCTTTCCGCCAGGTACTGCTTGAACCGCTGAGAGGTGTATTCTCCTCCTCCGTCTGACTGGAAGCTTTTCAGTTGTACGCCCGACTCTCTCTCTGCTACTGGTAGCCAGGCAGCGAAGGCTGCGAATGCCATGTCGCGGCTGGGTAGGTTTAGGTGCCAGACGTAACCCGTGGTGGCGTCGATGAAGGTGATCGTGTTGTTGTATGTGACTTGTCCTGGTTCCCGATTGAACAGGATATCGCTATACACCTTCTCGAGTGGTGCGTACGCGGGAGCGCTTGGGTTGTGATGTGACGCGAATGGTCGATGCGGTAAGTTGCCTTCAGGGTAGGTGATGTCAAACATTATATATGTTATACTTGTGTAGGCTACAGTGGGTTAGCCTATAGGGGGTACACAATTCTAGGGTTTACTACTTGTACTCTTTTCACTTCTAGTTGATCCATTCCTGTTCGCTTATTCTCACATGGTATAGAGCGGGTCCTTCTACGGACCGTTTTTTTTTTGGGCCCACCGAAGCGCCCCCCGAGGCGCGATCATTTTTTTTTTAGCGACCCCTCGGGTCGCCATTTCCCCTGCGGCCCCGCCGCCTTCACTGACGCGGCCCCGCCGCCCTCTCTGTCGCGGCCCCGCCGCCTGCTCTCACGCTGCGCGTCGCCTGCTTGCCTGCCTGCCTGCCTTTTGGCTTGCCTGGCTGCCTGCCTCCCTGCTGCTAGTCCTGCTCCTGCTTCTACTTGCGGAGCCAAATGCAGCCCCAGCGACGCCGGCGTGAGTCCCTCACGCCGCAGCAGCTGCGTGAGTGGTACGCTGGTTGGGGCTGTAGGGGTGGCGACGCTACTCCTACTACCACTCCTGCTGCTTCTACTCGTGGTGGCGGCCAGATGCAGCTCCCGCGACCCTCTCGCGTGTCTCTCACGCCTCGCCAGCTTCGTGAGTGGTACGCTCAGAGTGGAGGGTCTCTCAGTGCTGTTCGCTGCTCTTACGTGATTCGCACTGGTACTCGGACTGGTCAGCCTTGTGGGACACGTAGTCATACACCGTCCCGCTGCTTCGCCCGTCTGAGCGACGCCTGGCGTACCGTGTTTGGCGACGAGGCTGAGCTTCCCGACTGGGTGGAGTTGCTTAGGCAGAGGGTAGATATATATGCTCTTGACTATGATGCTATTCTCACTGCCATGTATGCATTGCCTACTAGTGCTGACCGTGCCGGTCACCTGTGCGTCCCGCCTGACCCAGGTATAGGACCTGCTGCTCTAGCTACTGGTGAGGCTGCTGCTCTGGGTGCTAGTGAGTCTCCTGCTCCAGGTACAGGTGCGGCTGCTGCTCTAGGTGCTAGTGAGTCTGCTTCCTCAGGTGCGGGTGAGGCTGCGCTCTCAGGTACCGCGTTGGCTTCGGCCTCCCTCACCTTTACACTTGACTCTGGGGCTTCTCGCTCCTTCTTTCGGGACCGCACCACACTCACGCCGCTTGGTCGGCCGGTTGCAGTCTCCCTGGCTGACCCCTCTGGGGGTCCTGTCCTCGCTCACTTCTCCACTGTCCTCCCGTGTCCGGCTGCCCCCTCGGGCACCCTGTCTGGCCTGTACCTCCCCTCGTTCTCGACGAACTTGGTGAGTGGTGCAGACCTACAGGATGCGGGGGTTCACCAGTTCACTCCTGCGAGTCAGCGGGTGACCCACTGCACGGACGCACGCACAGGCCGGCACCTGGCCACGTTCTCGCGTCGGTTGGGGTCGAGCCTCTACACCCTGACCACTGAGTCTCCTCCTGTCCCCGCGTCCGGTCAGGTAGCAGCGTCGGGTCAGGTGTTTGCTGCTGCGTCCAGGTCTGGTCCTGAGTCTGCCCCCTGTACTTGTCGCCTCCTGTCTCACGAGACTCTCCTGTGGCACCACCGTCTTGGCCACCCCTCCTTGCCCCGTCTTCGGAGCATGGCTTCCCGTGTCCTTGTCTCTGGTCTTCCCCAGTCTCTCCCTCCTCTCCCCTCCGGGCCAGGACCTTCCTGTGTCCCCTGTGTCGAGGGTCGCCTCCGGGCTACTCCTCACTCCTCCCACTTCCCCCCGACAGAGGCTCCCCTACAGACGCTTCACATGGATGTGTGGGGCCCAGCCCCCGTCCGTGGGCAGGATTACGAGCGCTACTTCCTGTTGGTGGTTGACGACTACTCGCGTTACACCACAGTCCTCCCCTTGCGCAGCAAGGGTGAGGTCACTGAGGTGCTGATCGACTGGATCCGCGAGGCTCGTCTCCAGCTCAGGAAGAGCTTCGGCTCGGACT